CCTCGCCTGTCAGCCCCACCCCTGCCTGCGTCTCCTTCATCTCTATTCTCTCTCATGCCCTCGTCTTCAAGATCTCTTGTCCCTCATGCACTATCTTCTACGCTGTTATCTCATACAATACCATGAATCGAGTATGAAAAGGATCTTCATTAGGGTGTCTTTAACGGTTCTTTCTATGAAGTAACGAAGCGTAGCATCCACCGCTTCATAATTGAACCCCACTACTCAGAGGTTGCAATCGTGAAATATGCCTTTGATTGTAGTTTTAGTCGTCTGAGGGGATAAAAATATAACCTTCGAAGGCAATGTGTGTGTCAGTCACGCATTCAAACACATCTACAATTTCGAGCCGAAGTCAAATGCATGGCACAGACGAGAAATTGGTGAACATCAACCCCTTATTACAGAAACTACCATATTCTGGAATACCGAGTAACAAGAGGTGCATTTATTTGTTACGTTTTGATACTGTAGTCGTTCAGATCGAGGAATGCTTGTCGATGCGAGAAACAGCCCGCCATGTTCTCACGGCCGCCAAGCAATTGCTACCGTATGCAGCTTGCATTGAGAGTATGAGTGCGCTGATCGATCCAAAGTAGGTTTTGCTCATGCTGTAATGGGTTTTTGTTTTATTTATCAGTATCATTGATATTTGCTGGTGCTCCGATTCGAGTACATATTGAAAGTACCCGACCGTTGGCCATTCCCGATTTTGGTGCACGAATCTAAAGGCAGGGTGATTTGACATATTTAGCAGAGGAATGTTCCTACTATCTAGGGAGAATAGGCTTCTGAAGGAACGAGGGCATGACACTTTTTGAGATTATCTATCCATTGTGCTTTCGTGGCAATTCCCGTCTGTAGGTAGAGGATTCACCACTCGCCGGTTGAGCAATTGTGACAGTTTGTTGGTGGAGAGAAAGTAGAGAGACAGGCATGGCACGCACATCGGCATCGTCACCCATCGCGAACTCGTTCAGCAAGGAAATCGGTGGATAAGAAGGGATCCCATTTCTGAAATTCTGAGCTGTTTCTCTCGGTTTTCCCAGCGCCCCACCCACCTCTACCTTTATGTCCGACGATTTTAGCAGACGCTTTTTCGATTTTACCCGACCGGCTCCACAAAACATATTTTTCAGGCGCTGCCATCCACCAGATCCGGCTCCTATGGAAAGTATTTGCATGCA